AGTCATACTTGGTTAACACAATAGATTATCATGATGTGTTTTCATGCTCAAACCAGCAGATGGCAGTAGAAGGACTTCTCTTTTTAATCTCTGAAGTTCCAAACCAAGGAAGCAAATTGAAACCATTATGTGTTGCTCAGAACTTCTCACCCGAACAGTGATTTCAAAATCCAAAAAAATTATATCCAACAATTTCCACTGAAAAACGTAGCAGTGAGCTCAGATAAGTATGAAGTATGATGATAAGTCCATGCTCATAGATCTAACAGCCACAACATTGAGTTGCAGTCACGTAGCTCTCTCATCATTCCCTGAAAGAGGACCAAAGGCTCTGGTTCTAATTCATCAAAGGGAGAGAGGAGTCTTTCCTCACTTAGCAGATCTGAATGGACTCCAAGTCTTGTCAGAACAATATTAAGACTATATTCAGTAACAGTGACAGAGTTGGAAGGGATCTTGGAGGTCATCTAGTCCATCTCCCTGCTCACGCAGGAGAGCTGTATTAGGGATTCGAACCGCCGAACTGCCAACCTTAGCCACTGAGCCACCTAGTCAGGGTAGTCAGGATTCCTTTTGGCAAATAAAGCCTTTAAAACCAAAGCTTTTATTAATCAATACTTTTGCGATTTTACATTGATAAGATCTCTTTCAAGATATATAGCCTTTCCTTATCCATTCAATACTCTCTCTGGTGCTTAATCTACATAGATAACAATTTGTATGCATATTTTTCTTTTTCTCATGTTGAATGTGAATGAATAAACTAATCGTGGCATTGGACTAATCTATAATTTCACTCTTCAAAATTTATCTTGTTTTTTTCTAAGAATTTTATTATCTTCTCTTCAGATATCTTCTCTTGATGATAAAGTTTTTCATAATAACTTTTGAATTATTCTCTTCTTTTCTTCACTTCTGTAATGTATTTTCCCCTTTTCGTCTTGTAAATATTTTATTGCTTTCTTCTCTTTTTCTTTTTTTATTTTATATGCTAACCTTCTTCCCGGTTTATTCGCATTTTCAAAAAAAAATCTATAATTTCCCTCTTCAAAACTTAACATGTTATAGATGATGACAAACCTGATCATTTCATTACAGACTTTTGACTAATATGGTGTAACACTGCCTTGCTCTAATTTTCTCTGGTCTTCTCTGGTTTGTTTTATGGGAGAGAAAGAAGTGATGCTGCAAACTGTAGACTGAAGTCAAGATCAAGGCCATTGACAAGGACTAGAGGATAATACTTGTGTTACCAAGCCATTTTTGGTATGCTGTAGACAAGGCTATCAAGATTGCAGCATCACTCTGTCACTGATTAGCATTCTTGTCTATTATGCCAAGAAAACAAGCACAAATATGTAAATACAACTCTCTAGAGCAGGGGTGTCAAACTTGATTTCACTGAGGGCTGCATCAGGGTTGTATTTGACCTTGGGGGGGGGGGGGGGGGGGGGGGGAGGGCGGGGGGCATGGCCAGGGTGGCCGTGGCCAGCTCGACATCACTCCTTAAGGCTCCATTTTTGGCTGCGATGGCCTCCTGCAGCCCTCTGCCAGCGAAAACGGAACTTGGGGACGCCACCCGTGGGCCTGCCCAGGCTCTGTTTTCACTGGCAGAGGGCTGCAGGAGGCTGTCGCAGCCAAAAACGGAGCCTGGGTGGCTGCACGTGGCCCTCCCAAGCTCCGTTTTTGCTTGCAGAGGCACCGCGGGCCAGTCCTTCACTGTTTCCAGGGTGGGCCTGCAGGCCAGATCTAAGCACCCCGCAGGCCGGATCCAGCTCCCGGGCCCTGAGTTTAATACAGGGGTGAAATGCTACCGGTTTGGGGAGGTTCACACGAACTGGTAGTGAAAATGTTACTGGTTCGTCCGAACCGGTAGTTAAAAAATGCTGTAAAAAATTCCGAGATCTTGTGGCACAGCTTATCCTCAGAACTTTTTTTCCCCTTTTTTAAAGCATTTTTTTACTACCGGTTCAGGCAATAGGTAGTAAAAAAATGCTTTAAAAAAGTTTAAAAAAGGTTCTGACAATCAGCTGTGACAATCAGCTGTGCAGCGGGATCTTCGGAACTTCTTTTTTACTTTTTAAAGCATTTTTTTACTACCTATTGCCCGAACCGGTATTTTTGGGTAAAGTGTGATAGTTTGTTTTTGAGCTATGACTCTGTGATGTTCCTGCTTGTTGCAGGGACCATTTTGTGTGAAGTCCAACTGCTTTTGCATTGTGTGTGAGTCAGTTGTGTAGCTTTTGTGTTATTTTTGTGTAAAGTGTGATAGTTTATTTTTGAGCTTTCTGTGACTCTGTGAGGTTCCTGCTTGTTGCAGGGGCCATTTTGTGTGGAGTCCAGCAGCTTTTGCATTGTGTGTGAGTCAGTTGTGTAGCTTTTGTGTCATTTTTGTGTAAAATGTTATAGTTGGTTTTCCCAGTCACATGACCACCAAGCCACACCCACCCAGTCACATGTCCACCAAGCCACATCCACCCAGTCACATGACCACCAAGCCACACCCACCAAGCCATGCCCACAGAACTGGTAGAGAAAATTTTTGAATTTTAGCACTGGTTTAATATCCCTGCTCTAAAGCATGGTTGTCCAACCTGGGCCACACGGAGTAAATAGGAATTGTCTTGGACAATTCCTATATACAAAATATATAGTATAGTTAATGAATATAAAATCACAAAATAATGTTAAAAGTTTATGATCTTGTGGGCTGCATTTCTAGTTGTCCAGAGCCTCATGTAGCTCATGGTCCATGGATTGAACACACCTGCTCTAGACCAATCTGAATGTAACTTGATTTTTATTTCCCATCAAGCAAATCTGCCTTCCTTCTCCCAGAATCAAGCCTGTTTAGAATAGTCCACTCCAGCATCCAGAGGTATAATTCTACCTGCTGATATGACGCAGCCCAAGCATTCATATTATTTTTTCTAGATTGATATTCTGCCTTTCCTCGGGGTCTTGAGGACATATATATTACATTCATTCCATCAATTTTCACCATAGCAGCCTTGAGAGGAAAGTTGGGTTGACCAGGAAAAAATGACTCAGGGTTTCTGCAGCTGAAATTGGACTTGAACTCTGTCCTAGACCAGTAACTTAACCACTGCCTCACAATGCCTCTGTACCGTCTTCCAACAATTACAGATATTGAAGCCTCACCAAATGTGAAACACAATAGATGGGCTTTTTTTTTTTAAATAAGGTAGCCACTAGGGAAGTAGACTACTTGTATTCTGTAAGATGCTGAATCTCACCAAAATTGAAACCTTTCCAGCATAGATTTTAAGTGTAGCGTGACAGTTTGTTTTGGATGCAAAGAATACCAGCCAATCAATGCTCTTTCTTTCTGCTCCAAACCAATTAATCATTCAAGGTACTATGCACACAACTTCCAAACTTTGTGAATTAACCATCTCCTTCCCAAGAGAAAAGCAATTAAGTCTTAATTGTTCCTATCCATCCACCTTTGTGCGGGTTGGCAGCCAGTTTATGAAATATTCCTCCCGTTCATCCTGGATGTGTGGGTGTGCATCAGAGGTGGTATTCAGCAGGTTCTGACCAGTTCTGGAGAACCAGTAGCGGAAATTTTGAGTAGTTTGGAGAACCGGTAAATACCACCTCTGACTGGCCCCGCCCCATCTATTCTCTGCCTCCCGAGTCCCAGCTGATTGGGAGGAAATGGGGATTTTGCAGTAACCTTCCCCTGGATTGGGGAGGGAATGGAGATTTTACAGTATCCTTCTCCTGGAGTGGGGTGGGAATGGAGATTTTACAGTATCCTTCCCCTGCCATGCTCACGAAGCCATGCCACACCCACCAAGCCACACCCACAGAACCAGTAGTAAAAAACTTTGAACCCCACCACTGTTGTGTGTATGCATGCATTTGCACGCAGACAGAAAGAAAGCTTGGTTCTTAAAAACCACTAGTCTTTGAAGGGAGAAGCCTGGAAAATTATTGCCAGTGTACCAGATTAGTATAGCAAATATAAAACAGCAAATACCAGGAAGAACTTTATGTAGAGAGAGCATAAGGTGATATACTTGGTCATGCTACAACATGTAGGTGGGAGGTGGACAAAAATAATTGTCCTCATTTTGAAATTGTTTTATCTGCTATATTGCACTTATCTTGGTTTAATTATTCATTATGTTGCTTAACAGTTCATGGGTAACAGTCTCATTTTTAATTGAGTTCACCTTGAGCTTTGTGCTAAGGTGTGCTGTAAAACCTGATTAATATAATGGTTCCCTTAAAAGAAGTCTGGCACAAAGAATATGCATGCATCAGAGGTGGGTTTCAGCAGGTTCTGACCAGTTCTGGAGAACCGGTAGCGGAAATTTTGAGTAGTTCGGAGAACCAGTAGTAAGAATTCTGACTGGCCCCGCCCCCATCTATTCTCTGCCTCCCAAGTCCCAGCTGATCGGGAGGAAATGGGGATTTTGCAGTAACCTTCCCCTGGGGTGGGGTGGGAATGGAGATTTTACTGTATCCTTCCCCTGCCATGCCCACCAAGCCACGCCCACCAACTCATACCACGCCCACCACGCCACACCCACAGAATTGGTAGTAAAAAATTTTGAAACCCACCACTGGCATGCATGTATGTCTTGGTCATACTTCCTAGGATTATTTTTATTTGGTAGACTATACTAACACAGAGCTATACTAAACTAAGAATTCACACCTTGCGCTTCATAAATCGAATACATAAGAGCCCATTGCTATTTATTTTTTGGCATCAGATGGTTTTCTTTAGGTAAGTGAAAATATAAGTGTTTTTAATCTCCAAAGTATCCATGTTTTTAATCTCCAAAAGTTATTTAACAAAAGAAGTATCTTTAAATATAAGGAAAAGTACAATGAAGAGATAGAATGCTGGAAAATAGGTTCTGTAATTTTTGGAAGTAGAAAAAATTATGTGCCCAAGTTTCCTTAAGAATAATTTGCTTGTATCTGCAAATAAATAAATAACATTTCTTTATCTGACTCATTTACCAATACATTATTACATCCTTTGAAACACAGAAGATCCCACATAGTTATTTTAAATATGTCTCTTGATGGCTGGCTCAGAACATCTGTAAGCAATGGAACAAACTTTATGCAGATATCCAGCATACGAGTTTCACATCATCCCCTTTGTGGTCAGAATATTTTCAGATCTTGCAATGAACTGCTGGTGTCTATCCCAAGCTGAATATGCAAACAAGATTTCACTGGTTAGGCGGAATCAGCATGGACTTACCAAGCGGGTTTTTCCAGACTATGAGACTCATCAAAAAGACATTTTGCTTATAAATCAGATGGTTGTTAAAGTTACTTGGACTGTGGACGAACTAAGTGCGAAGAGATATGCAGGAACAGGGTAAGGGATGGATATTCTTTCTTTAATAAGCTCAGAACTGATGTAAAGATGCATTTACATTTGTTGAACATATTTCATCTTTTTTCTCAAGATGAAGTATGCGTTGACAAAATATTTCACATTTTCCTGGAAGCCATTCTAAAGCTGCCTAGAGGCATACCTTTTACTACGCAGTTAGTTCTGTTTTTCAAGTTCTGCTGAGTTTAGGAAAAGAGGTTGGTGTACTTTTGTTTTGATCCAGAGGGTGTTTGTTTAACAACATGTGAATTTCCCCATTCCTTCCATTACTAGCTACTGCTGCTGTCGAGATTTTAAATAGTTGCAAGGTATTGATGTTGCATCTTGTATCAAAAGTGTTCCCATAGAAGAGCTCAAAACTGGGGACGGAAGGAATGTTCGTACTACAAGAAAACGCTAGGCACTGTGATTGTAGCAGAAATCATAATGATATTGCTTCAGTCATTATTCCAAACAACAGTCAGAATTGAAGAAGCGTCTTGGATGAGAAGCGAAACATCTTCAAGGAAAAACCAAGTCCAGTTGCTTTTTTGGAAAAAAGCAACTTTGGGACAACCGTGACCTAGATGTCTGAGAATCTCCATAGGCTTCAATCGTTACAGTACATAATATTTTTTAGGATTCCATTCATTTGTGCTTCTTTCTATTGATCTCTCTTTGCTTTTGAACTTTCCTAGGGAACAAAATTAGAAGGAAAACTCAGTATGGTGCTACCGAGTCACCAAAGCCACAGGATCACCAGGAGGGCCAGGATCAAACCTACTTGGATGAGAGGATCGCTATTCCAGATGTTGGTGGGGTAAGCCTTTGGCTACGAGTTTCCACGTTGATTGTTGTCCTGGGGGTTTTACTCTTGATTGAAAAGCCCTTTTGGAATGATCAGCTCCACCACAGCATAACTGGGCTCACACCGTATGTTAATGAACTACATGACTGTGGGGATGCTTCAACAGTTATAAGTGCGAGGACCGGGTCCTAAGTCACTTTTTCAGTGATGTTGTAATTTCAAATGATTGTTAAATGAAGGACTGCATGTTTTAAGCAATGGAACAACTTGCTTCCCAGAGTTTTGGATGCCCTATTGCTTGGGGCTTTCAAGAGAAGGTTGGACAACCATTTGTCTGACATGGTACTCCTGCCTTTGGCAGGAGGTTGGAATAGAAGATCTGTGAGGTTACTTCCAATCCTATGATTCTATGAAAAGCCATGGCAAATTCCTTCCATACTATTGTTAAGGAAATCCCATGGATATGTGCACATTCCGCAGGAATGGAGTTGAACTGCAACTGAATTTTTTTACATAGAATTAACATAATATCTGGCTTGTGAGGAACCAGGAAAAGATAGGCTTTGTTTGAAACACGGGGAAATAGAGAGCTTATTGGAAATCATAGGAGATGTAAACAGATCATGGCATAAAGGGCCAAAGCGATTTTCATTTGCAAGGGTTGAACTTGAACCAATCCAAGATCAAGGCTGTGTCCCTGAGTTGTTGGTCTTTTCAGGTGGAGCCAATCAATTTTTGGCTCGGATGCTGCTTCAGGAAAAAAAAAATGCTGTAAAGATAGTTTTGCAGGGCAGGCAGCTGCTCCCTGGAGGGAATAGATCCCTGCCTTACCCCTTCTGCCAATTTCTCAGTCCCCCCACTCCCCTCCCTTGCTTCTGATGTCACTATGGAAGCATCTGGTTGGCAGGAGCCTTGCAATTTCCTTTCCCGCCAGCCTGTTGATTATGCTGGCCAGTATGAGATGTTGACTCTTCATGGGCCATGCTGTTGTGGCCAAGACCATGTACAGCTTCCAAATCACAGCTGCCCACCCTTGGCCCCCCCAAAAATCTAAGAGCAATTTAGAAGCAGGATACATGCATACAGATAGACAGATGGATATATATGCCCTCAGGCACACACACACACACACACACACACACACATAAATAGCATTGATCTGCATGAGAAGAGGAGCAAATTCTTTAATTGGGATCATCAAAGTGGTATGTCTTATGTCAGGTTTTTCTAAGGATACTCTAGTTGGTTGACAAGAAGAGTGGTCTTGTAGGCCTGATCCAGCAGAATAAGCTATCCAAGTATGATAACGTTACTATGACTTTTCTTCTCTAGCTCTTCAGTTAAATTTTCCATATCTTTGTTCTCCAGTACGGTTTCAGTTTCAGAAAGCTTTGGGCTTTCACCGGGCCAGGATTCCTCATGAGTATTGCCTACCTGGATCCAGGAAATATTGAGTCAGACTTACAATGTGGTGCTGTCGCTGGCTTCCAAGTGAGTATGTGAGGAAATGGAGGAGACGCCAACCAAACAAATAGCCTGCAGTGACTTACTTTGAAATTAATTCAAATACACATTCTTATTCAACTTTCCCAATTATTAAAGACCATCCCAAGGCTTGAAACAGAAGAATTCCTGCATACTTCCATACTTCTCAGCCTCTAGATTCACAGGGACTTTACAAAGATGTCCCCATTCATTCTACTCTCCATCCTGTTTTTATTTATTTGTTTATCATACTTGTACAGCTGCCCATCTCATCAAAAGTTGCTCTGGGTGGACTCAGTATGGACATGTGTTTCTGAGATTCTCTCCCAATATCCTAAAGCTATGTGGGTCTCAGTCCTGTTTAGTCATTATTGTATTGATACAGAATCTGCTATGTGCTCGGTTATCATGTGCCTTTGCTCCCTACACAGCTGCTCTGGGTCCTGCTTTGGAGTACAATTTTGGGCCTGCTCTGCCAAAGGCTGGCTATCCGGCTTGGGGTAGTTACAGGGAAGGACTTAGGAGAGATATGTTATCACTACTATCCCAAGGTGAGTATGAATATATAGCAGTCAATAAGGCAACATTGGCTCCAAATTTTGGTTTATGCAGTGGCACAGTGGTAATTGCAAATAGAACTAAATTGACCTCCATCTGCCTTTCTTTCTCTGGCTTTGCACTTGATCCACAATTACTTTGATCGTTGTATGAACCAAATAATTGTGGTTTACACAATATACCATGAGTAAAACAAAGCATGATTCGATTTCATGTTTTTGCCAGACTAAACCACGGTTGTTGGTGATCATGGTTTATTGCTTGTTTTATGCAAAATATTAATATATAAATCATGATTTACAAACAACATCATTTTAAAAATTTACTTGATTTATATATTGCCTTTCTGTTTGAAAACATGCTCAGTAAATACATGTTCTAAAGAAGATTCACATTTTAAAAAAAGTAACAAAATCATTCACTGTTAATCTTGTAAAGATGTCGGCCCTTTTCTAAAAAGCAGAGGAAGTGGGATTCAAATGCAGCTTCCAAGGAAATGCAAGTCATAGTTGAGAATGATGGGGGGGAAAAGTTTCTCCCCCATCTGAGAACAGGATCATTTTCAGAAGGGTATTTACTACAGGTTGTATTGAGAGTTGTTTCCTCAGATGATCAGGCCTTAACGGTTTAAGGCTTCAGAATTAACACCCTGCACTTAGAAAATAACTGGTAATTGCTCAGATCTTTGTCCATTGGCATCCTGTAATCTCTGGGCCCTTTTTGTTATTGTTGTTGTTGTGTTATGTTTTGTATCAGCCTATCTGCTTTTTTTTTTTTTTTTTGCACTAATTTCCAGCTCCAGACATTTTTACTTTTTTCCAAAGAATACTGTAATTGCTAAGAAGGGAGGTGACTAAGTTCTGGACAACTGTTGCCAGATCTGAGCTGCTCAGGCATGATTACAGATGACAAACTAATTCTATGACTCTTCCTTTATTGCTGCAATAGTGTGGATTCCTCCAGGCTTTGAGTTGGCCAAGAAGGACGCCAACATCATCAGCACTGCTCCCACAACCTAGCTGTTTTATGCTTCATTTAAGAAGGTCAATGAATAGAGCTGTTCTTTTCAGCTTTAACATGGGATAATTTAAGGGCAGCAATTGGTGGATTCCTTTGGCTGCGTTTCCCCCCCCCCCCCAGCAGCATCAGCAGCCAAGAAGAAAAGCAACCACAGTCTCTTTAACCGGCAGTGGGCAGTTGGAGATGATTTAGGTCACCCCTCGTGATGATTTTGCTTTGCACCTTTAAATTGGCCCAAGTAATAGGCCTGCATGGAGATGCTTTACACCATAGAATAGAATAGAATAGAATAGAATAGAATAGAATAGAATAGAATAGAACAGAACAGAACAGAACAGAACAGAACAGAACAGCAGAGTTGAAAAGGGACCTTAGATGTCTTCTGTTCCAACCCCTCTCAGGCTATTTCTGAGCATATATCTACATGTAGTGATCTTCTGAAAGTATGCTAAACGTGTCTAAGAATAGTATGGCATTTTCTCTGATTTTACAGTAGGATGGGACCCGTGGGAGGCTTCCCACTCACATGCCTACTTTTAACATGCAACACACACAAGCAAAGTAAAAAATGAGCCAAAAGTACTTGGACACAAACTTTCAAGTAATGCCTAGTTATCACAATGGGCCTCCTACAGCTCAGAAGGTCAGGTGATCAGCTCCTGATCTTTAAATATAGCTAGAGTGAACCATTTTTTCTTGGGGAAAAAAATAAAGGACAAACCTGAAAAACGGGCAAATATGAAAGAGGTTCATAAGGATTAAAAACATTTTCTTGTTTACAAAGGAAAATTCAAGAGCAAAACTAAGACAAACTTTACAAAGACACCTTTTAATAAAAATCTATAACATCAAACAATATATGTAAATTTATTTTTAAAGAGCAATTCAATTTTCCATATTTTTCACATGAATGTGAAATACTTTTGTGTTAGCTGGTACCAATTGTATAGTAAAAGTTATATGAAATAAAGTATAGGACAGAAGTGAGTTTTTGAAGAATAAATCAAAAGGACAGCTCTCTGAAATAAAGGACTGTTCTTTATAATACACATGGTCACTGCAACTATATCCCATCCCTAGATTAGTGTCATGTGTGAATGATGATCACTGAGTTCCTAATATGTTAGAGCCAAAATTAGGAAGAGGCATTGAGACATCTTAAAGGCATTAACTTTTCCTCTGTATCTGCTAACAGCCCAGCTGTTGTCCTTTCCACTATAGGTCCCACGTGTGCTGCTCTGGATTATGATCGAAATTGCTATAATTGGCTCTGATATGCAGGAAGTGATTGGAACAGCAATTGCTTTCAACCTCCTTTCAGCTGGACGGTAAGATCCCTGATTTTCTATAGGCCCAAGATAAAGCAATGGGCAGGTTCCAGAGACAAATGCTGTGAATGCTACAGAACTACCAAACCCTGGACTGTACCATTGGGTCCCTACAGATTTCTAGAATCAGGAAAGATTGGAGTGAATATAAGGTGAAACCAATGCTATCATTTCTCTGCTCTTTACACATCAAGAATAATTCCTCCCCATTTTAAATATCCTCCTGCAGAATGGTCAGGGTGAGGAATTGCCAATGCATGACACTGCAACTTTTGTCATATATTGCCTGATCATATATTTTAGACTGGCCAAGACATGCAATTATGGAAGCAAAGAATATTGCACTTCAAAGTTGCAGGATATAGAACGGCCTTCTCCAATTTGATGGCCGTCAGAGATTAAGGCAAAGTACTGTAAAGGATTATTGGGGGTGGGGAAGAGCTATAACCCAGTGGCACAGCATAGTCCCAGGTTCTAACCTCTTTAGATGGGAAAAGTTTCCCATCTAAAACTTGAAGAGGTTCTGACAATCTCTGATTGCGCTCCCAATTTCTCAAAAGCTAGTGGAGTCCGATTTGCACTTCACGTTCACCCATCTTGAGATGTTATGGCCTCCTGGTCTCTAAAGCCAGGGTCAGGAGAGAAAGACATTGGTGGTGAATGCCGAGAGGAAAATGGGAAGCACCTATGGGAAAACAGATAGTTGATAAACTCTGCAGAACTGCAGCATTTTCAAGTTAAAAAAAATAAACCCAGTTTTGCTCCAAAAGCAGATAAGCGTAACTGAGCCAGCAGTGCATTGACACAATTCTTACAGATCCAGTGCCGATTATAAACCAGAAAAAAGACCCCTGTGGAAAGACAAAACCGAAATAGAAAGCTATTTTCTATAATTCTTTGAATTAAAGACACTAGCAAACTTAAAGCGCTTGAAGAAATGTTTTGTTGTCACAACTATGCACCTAATCTATCCCTTAGCTACCCTCTATGAACAGTACCATTACAAGAATCCTACGAGGCTAAAGTGTTTCAGTTCAACTTGGTATAGAAAGCACAAACCCTCCTGGATTTATGGGTGCTTCCATTTCAATCAGACATGGGTTTACGATAGCAGAACACTGAGTCTTCATAGCATTCTGAGAAATAGTCAGATTTGTGCAATTCTATTTAAATGATAAAATTTTTACTTTTCTTTTTGCAGTATCCCTTTGTGGGGTGGAGTCTTGATCACAATTGTGGACACCTTCTTCTTCCTCTTCTTAGATAAATATGGTAAATACTAGGCCAGAGAAAAGGGAGGTATACATGGTTGAGTCATCTAGTGAGTTGTTCAAGTTTATGAGAGTTTGGTTATGGTTTTACTAATGATATACTCATATGTTGTAATGCCAAAAGTAATATCACTAGTGTGTATTGCCTGTATATTAGAGGATTTGTAGCTATCATGTTATGAATGCTATGGGATTTTTTGCTATGTATTTGCAAAAAAATGATTTTTTTGCTATGTATCAGCAGGTATAATGGGCATGTATGTAAGTCAGAGTACATTTCACCCATACAAGGTATAAGGTTATCAAGGTAGTTTTAGGTTTCTAACCCTACAGTACAGTACCAGAATGAAATTTTCTCTGAAGGCACAAGAGATGGTTCTCAAAATAGAATATAGTCCCTCACTTCCAAAATAGATGGTGCTCATGTGACCCAGATGAGGCAGTGGCTCCGAGTGGAAAACTAAACAAAAAACATGAAAAGAGGGCCAAACAAACATTGGCCAAACTAAGACTGGCCAATTCTTGATAGAAAGTTGTATTGGTTGTGTTTTGCATCACAAAACAAGGCATTCTGATTGTGGGCGTTCCACTTTGATTCTTCTGGAACTCGAGCTTTACCTGACTAGCCAACTTTAAGTTGGTAGGTAGACATCAGTGGGTGTAGGTGTAAGCAAATAAAGCTTTTATTTCAGAAAGTAAGTCTGTATTGTAAATCTGCATTTGTTTCTGTGCCCAGAATCTTTGGCTATACCAGAACAGGAAGGAGCACTCAAAGTATTATAAATATATAAATATACCGAGTGATTTCATGAAAATAACACCTATTTACATGGCACAATAAGGAGCACCAAGTAAAATGTTAAATACTGTTTGAAATAGCCATTAATGCAGTCTTTCCTGCTGAGAGCTCTCAGAATTTTGCTCAAAGTACTTCAGGAAGGCACCGGATTGAGAATAATCTAATTGAGAATCCCAAGGCCTCCTATGGACAATAAACCTCTTTCTCTTTTGTCTTTCCCTGTCAGGTCTCAGGAAGTTAGAAGCCTTTTTCGGCCTCCTCATTGCTATCATGGCAGTAACGTTTGGCTATGAGGTAAAACATGCTCCCTCCGCCCACATGTGAGAACTTCAACCACTCTTCCCTAGCCTGGCTAGCAGTCTGAGGATTAGGACCTAAAAGCCACCTCCCACTCTCTCAAGCATCCAGCAGAGTGGTCTTCTCCAACCTGATACCCCACATGTATTATTGTAAAATAATCCCCAGGAATGGAATCATTATCTAGGGAATGGACCGGTGACTGAAAAGTATTGGGTGGGAATATCTGATCAAACTATTTTAGCCCAATATTCAGTGGCCAACTGTGGCAATCAGATGCTGTCAGGAAAACTCATGTGTGCCCTGTTTCTTCCTTCTTATTTGTACCCAGCATTGGTGGGTTGCTACCGGTTGACCCCAGATCGGGCAAACTGGTACTGGCTGTGGTGGGAGGCTCCGCCCACCTGCTGAGACACTTCTGCACATGTGCAGAAGCATTGTGCACAAGCACTCTCTCGCCCACGAGCGACCCGGTAGCAACGGGTTTTGAAACCCGCTCCTGGTACCCAGTGACTGATTTTTAAAGATATTTTGGAGTTCTTTATTTAGAGGATGAAGTTCCAAGTAGCCTGAAATAACCAGTGCTCTATGAATTTGTCTATTATTTAAAAACACCCAGGGAGATGCGCATGATCACATCTGGTGACAATGAATGCCAGAAGGAAATTGAATGGGGAGAAAAGATTTCTGGGTGTTCTGGCATCAAAGCAATAGTCAATCAACTTGGAGCTAAATTGGCAGAACATAATTGCTTGTGGTTTGTTCCATGTATTAAGAATTTCTTACTTTAGATACAGCTTTGCCACCAGGATTCACAAATGAATTAGGTTGCAGCACATTCTCGCATCTTTTAAACAAATCAAGATAAGCAACTACACTGACATTTTAATTCGCTTCATAGTACAGCAGCATTGGGGGGAATCTCATCTCTTCTTGGTTCACATCTCTTCTCTAGCCTCTGGTAAATATCTAACCTGTTTTTCCCAACTCTAATTCCTCTTAACCTGTTAACAAGGTTTCTTGTGAGTCCATCTTCCTTTTTATAGTGTCTGGCATTCAGAAGATGCATACTCTATAGAGGAAATGTGGGAAGCGATGTGATCCTGTGCCTTGCCTTTCCCTGCATTGCCTAATTTTCCCTTCTTCTTTCTGCAGTACGTGGTTGTAAAACCTGATCAAAAAGAGGTGCTGAAAGGGATTTTTATTCCTTACTGCAAGAACTGTGGACACGAGCAGCTTCTGCAGGCTGTGGGTTTGGTTGGAGCCATCATTATGCCCCATAACATCTATTTACATTCTTCCCTTGTCAAGGTCAGTATCTTAACACGTAGATACTTTATTTTGGGGCATAGATCAACAATTCCTTGTGTATTGGATAAGAAGATGTTATCCATGCCTTCAAAGTTACTCATACATGTATGTATCTGATAGTTTATGGCAGTGTGATGCACTTGTAATGGGTGAGAAGGCAAAGAGAATAAAACATAGCCCCCATTGTCAATAGATACTATCTTGTACTAAAGGATTATTGCAATCTATGTTATATTTGTTGGGGGAGGAGGGGACTGCATTTTGCAGCACCAGCAAGGCAAACCAGGATAGCCACCTGCTGGCCAGATTTAGGCCATGTGTCTTGCATAGACGCTGTATTTTCTCTGTAGGTAAAATTCCTTGTTTTTAGCACCTCCAACCCAGGGGTGAAATGCTCCCGGTTCGAACCGGATCACCCGATCTGGTAGCGATGGCGGTGGGTGGTTCAGGGAACCGGTAGCAAAAATCCCTACCCCACCCCCCCATGCTCAGCTGAGCCGCACGATCATCAGAGGCTTTGTTTTTTAAGTATTTTTTCTACAACCTCTTTGAGGTTGTAGAAAAAATGCTTTTAAAAGCCTCTGACGATCCCAGCTGAGTTGCCTAATCGTCAGAGGCTTTTAAAAGCATTTTAAAAAGCCGAAGAGGTTGTAGAAAAAATGGTTTTCAAAGTTTTTTTTAAAAAGTTGGCCACGCCCACTCAATCACTTTAAACCCCCCCTCCCCACCAAACCACGCCCACAGAACCGATAGTAACAAATTTTACATTTCACCACTGCTCCAACCTAATCAGCATGATATGGGATAGGCATATTTTGCAGTGTTTCAAGATTTAAGATAACACAACTAGTCCTGGTTTAGGAACTGCTTTGTTTAATGACCACTCATAGTTATGACAATCATGAAAAAGTAACTTTGCAACCAGTCCTCGTATTAATGGCGTTCACAGGCCTGTAAAAGCAAAGGAAAGCTGAAGTCAGATCGAAAGCACAGTTGTGGTTTCACTTAGTGAGCACCTCGCTTAATGACCAAGTTGCCATTTCCAATTATGATTGCTAAATGAGGACTACTACCTGTAAGGGTTATGAATTAACAGAGAACCAAATACATACTTGATTTTTTTCTTCATGCTGCAGAGGAAAGGATTTTTTTTTTCTTACTGTAGGTAGGGAAACAATTTGGTTGAAGATAGATTTTAAGGTGATAAATCTTGGGCTAAATCACATGACTTGTTTTGGGATTTGCAAAGTAACCCTAACACTAACCCACTATTGTTTTTAAACCATGGTATGTAGCTTAATGTGTTGTACAGATCCAGCTAAATAATTCGCTGATGGAAGAATTTGATATTTATTGTAAAATGCCTAAACTATAGCCGTTGGTAAAAATGAACATAAAGTACCACTGCTCAATACAGGTAGTCCTCAACCTATGACCACAACTGAGCCCAAAATTTCTGTTGCTAAGCGAGACAGTTGTTAAGTGAATTTTACCTCATTTTACGACTTACCTTGCCAGATTTGTTCAGTGAATCACTGCAGTTGTTAAATTAGCAATGTAGTTGTTAAGTGAACCTGGCTTTCCAATTGAATTTGTTTGTTAGAAGTTCACAAAAGGTGATCACACGATCCGGGGACACTGAAACCGTCATAAATATGAACCAGTTGCCAAAGGTCTGAATTTTGATCACGTGACTATGGGGATGCTGCAATGGTTATAAGTGCGAAAAATGGTCATAAGTCACTTTTTTCAGTGACGTTGTAACTTTGAACGGTCACTAAGTGAACTGTAAGTAAGTCGAGGACTGCCTGTAATTTCATCTAGCCAACCCTCTCACTCTACATAGGCTAGAGGCGATGTGCCATTTAAGATCTTATAGTCGTCTTCTCTTGAGTTTTGTTTCAGTTTTCTTCTGCGTTTTGTTTTTGCCTAAATGTCTTTAAAGTACTACAGGCAGTCCTTGACTTACAACCATTCATTGTGTGACTGAAGTTACAACGGCACTGAAAAACAAGACTTATGACCATTTTTCATACTTATGATTGTTGCAGCTTCCCCATAGTCACGTGATCAAAATTCAGTTGCTTGGCAACTCATTCACATTTATGACGGTTGCAGTGTCCAGGGGTCATGTGATCACCTTTTGTGACTTTCTGACCAGCGAAGTCAATGGGGAAGATAGATTCACTTAATAACCATGTTATTAACTTAACAATGCAGTGATTCACATAACAACTGTGGCAAGAAAATTCGTAAAATGGGGCAAAACTCACTTCACAAATGTCTCGCTTAGCAACAGAAATTGGGCTCAGTTGTGGTTGTAGGTCAAAGACTACCTGTATTTCAAAAGCACAACTGGTTTAAAAGTACAATGTGTTAAAATGACAAAACCTAGCTCTTTGCAGTTGTGCAGAGCTAGGGCTCTGCTTGGACGATGGTCTCCTTTCTCATTTGGACTGCCATTTAAGGATTTCATTATTGATGTCTGGTTTATGTATTGTGGTTCTGAATTCTGTTAGGTGCTGTTGAATTTTTCTGTAAGTCATGAAGAGTGACTTTGATTGAATTGAACATTTATTTTAAATAAATAAATAAAAGTTGACATTTGTATGGGCAGCAGATTCTGAACAGGTAGATAAAGCATTCCGTTGCATGTTATATCTAGAGAAATGAACAGAGTTGCTCAAAGTTTATCAGGACTAATGTTTGCAGGAGGAGTAACTCAGCAGTTAAATATTATACATAATACAGCACTAAACTATAAAACTTAATTATGACTAGATAGCACTTTGATTTGATTAGCAAGTGTACATTTGAAAGAGCAACCATTTCTGATTGTGCCATGTCGTATTAGATAATTTTAATCTGAGCTCTACTATTCCTTTACACTTATATCAAAATCAGATTCTTAATTATTAAGTAATGGATCTTTAATTAATTGGACCAAAGATAATTATATCTAAGGGAATACAAAATTACTTTCAAGTTACCATTCAGGCTGAAAATGAAGGGATGACATGAAAACTTATTAGAAAGCATTTATATGGGAAGCAAATTAAACAGTAAATAACAGTACTTTTATAAAATATTATTCTGTGTATAAGTCAGAATATTGCCTGTGTATAAGGCAATGCTGAAACCATTAACTAAAGCATTCGTAAACACATTATTAAATTAATTGAGAAACATGCAGAATATCTTAATTAAACAATAATAGAAACTGAAGATTATTAATGTAATTAATTTTAAAATGGGTAGATTTCATGAATGGATGGCGTTGGACTAGATTTTTTTTTAAATCAAATCTAGCCTAGGTACGCAGAAGGATATTTGCAGACAAAAAAAATTCTGACCGGAAACCAATTGGGTTTCTAGATATCTATAATCAGCTGAGGAATTCTGGGAGTTGAAGTCTACACATCTTAAATTTGCCAAGGCTGAGAAACTGTTTTAATCTAATAAGAGTCCCAACAGGTGTCAGTATACTTTCCTGTTGCACATTTACATCATAACAAACCAGTATTTACTGCTCTACTATCCAATAGGCAAAACAAGGTTTAAGTAATTAGCCTGTACAGAACAGTTGACAAGTCACTTCATGTATGAATCAAGCATCCCTCTGAATCCACACTGCAAAAATACAAAGCACGTCTATTTGAAAACTCAGTGTGTTTGCTTCCAGGTCCTGAGATTTGCTATGCATGCAAAGAAGCTTTGAGAGAACTTTGAAATAACTGATGAAATTCAGAGAAGTTGCTTCATAGCTTGAAGCCACATTGATGCTTCCCTCACAACTAAAGTCCCTCATCAAATGCACAGACTTATTACATAGCAATCTGGATTTGAACATGTGGTCAGTGCTAGTCAACAGAGTATTAGGTGGAATATGATATATTCAAAGTCTTAATATTAAAAAAGGAAGTATCGTGTAATAAACCTATTTGCAGATGACATACTTAATTTTTTTGCCAATTCTGACCAAGTTATTCTCTAATTACAACTTTAATACATTTCCCACAGTGGCATAACTAGAAATAAAGTTTCATAAAGCATTTCTGTGCTAATTAATGTTGATCAGGGTGTTGCAAAAAAATGCCTTTGGAAATCCACTAGTCTGCATATTAACTTAGGATGGATTTAGATATTTAGAAGTCATTATTATAAAAAGTTGATATCAGTTTTAAAATTATGCAGTAAATTGAACTAGATATTTTCTTGTTAGAATAGCCACCATTAAGCTAGTTGTTCCAAAATTTTATTCCTGTTTGAAACTTTTCCCTTTTCCTGGCTTTCTACATTGAAAAATTCTTTCTTAGTGTAGTTATAATTATTTTTTAAAACCTAGAATATTAACAAAACTATAATGAAAAGTAATATAGTAAATCTGACATATTACTGCAGTGTTTTCAGTTAAAATAATTATTCAAATTCCAAAGTCTAATTATCACTGTATTCTTTTATCACTAAAACAATACATATCTTCCAGATATTAAGAAATTATTTTAAAATGGTATTCGTGATATAAGTATATGTGAAAGCAGTTTGTGTAATGCTCAGCCAATATTATTTTAAAGCATGTTTTACTGAAGAAGCCTTAATGGTGGCACATAGCCCAAAGCCATTTATATGTCATGCTGTGCGAAAAGCAAAGCATGTGATAGCTTCATGGAAGGTACCAGGACTGAAGCTGACAAGGCAGGAAACCAGAAGCCTGAGAATAAACCAAATGATTGTGTAAACACAGTACAGTGCCATTAACAGTGAAGCCTGAGAAACAGGCTGCAAAATCTTTTATGAGGTCAGGAGAAAGAAATCCAGGGCTTAAACCCTGAGGCAGGGGTGAAATCCAACAGATTCTGACAGGTTCTGGAGAACCTGTAGCAGAAATTTTGAGCAGTTCGGAGAACCGGCAAATATCACCTCTGGCTGGCCCCAGGGGTGGGAATGGAGATTTTGCAGTATCCTTCCCCTGGAGTTGGGTGGAAATGCAGATTTTGCAGTATCCTTCCCCTGCCATGCCCACCAAGCCACACCACGTCCACCAAGCCATGCCCACAGAACCGGTAGTAAAAAAAATTGGATTTCACCACTGCCCTGAGGCCACACACACAAATATATAACAAGATTCTTAAACTCAGTAGATTTTTGTCAATACTAGAATGACTTATTTGGAATAAAAACCTAGCTAAACCTGGTCCTTGACTTCTCACTGTTTGGGACAGTGAGTTGGGGCTTCTAAACGGAGGTTATTGTGAAGCATGAACCCATCTCTAGAGATGTCTGATTGATGACCTCACCCACACTCTCAAATGGCTGGATCGATTTCAGTTGTCCTCCTACATATTGTCAAGTTTTGGGAGCTTTTATCCCTCACAAATGCTTTAAATACTCCCATCTTCCTCCAAACCTGTCTCTGAACAGCTCGTGGCTGTTGTCTTGCATTGGTTCCAACAATTCAAGCTGAGCCAGCCAGCTCTTCCTCCCTACCCTTGAACAGTGAGAGAAGGAGCAGAGTGGCAACATGGCTACCAGTCAGCATTATGCCATTTTTTCAGTCACAGCTGTCACCACCCAGGCACCTTCAACTGGAAAACAGAATCTTTAGAATTTGATATTTGGGGAAAGATAGGGTGGAAGATAGTTGTCTCTGCTACTCCAAGGCAATGCAGTTTGACCATCAAAATGACTTGACTCCAAAGCTCTGGGTGGAAATGCCCAAAGACCACCCATGTCGTTAATGCAGCTGTCCTTATCAGATATATATTGACGGTCGTGCTCATTTGGTTCTATGAGGAAGTTATTTGGTCAATACAGCTTCAGGTTCAAAAGGTTGTTTTTATTATTGACAAATATATACATGCATACGATAATGAACAGGGTGTCCTGTTACATTTTTACCCTAACTGTATGACTCAGATGTTGAGAGGAGAGAGAAGTTCACGTGTTGTCTCGCTGAGAGATAGATGAGAGAGAGAGAAAAAAAAGGGGAAGATATCCAAGTGGTTTCTAGGTAAGAGTCCAATAAGAAAGTTCATTGGCTGATATAGTCACATGTGATGTCTGTAAAGACTTAACCCCTTCTAGTCTCTGGTGCATCATATGCAGGCAATATCTGACAGTCCTCTCTGCCCTAAAAACCTGTGTCCTATGGGGAGGGGGCAAGACCACTGGAACATCCTGTGGCATACATAGAAACTATTGCATTGTTTTCCCGACAGACCCGAGAAGTGGACCGCGCCAACCAGAAAGCGGTGAAAGAAGCCAATATGTACTTTCTGATTGAATCCACCATTGCACTCTTTGTTTCCTTCCTCATCAATCTCTTTGTCATGTCTGTGTTTGGCCAGGCTTTTTTTCAACGCAGCAACCAGGAAGTGGTAAGTCAGCAGCCCACGTTTTCTTCCCTCAAAGCCAACTCTGACATTAACATCTATAGTTCTTTACCCTACGTGTAGCCTTTTATTCTTTTGACCATGAGAGAAAATTATAGAAATGGACTTGGGGATCCTGTCTGTCCATTAGTCTAAGAGCTATCCCAAAGAGGGTCAAATTTGGAGGGAGAAGTGAAATATAGATAGATATGAATCAATCAACCAATTAGGAAAGAGTCAGATTAATCTGGGGGATATAGATAATTTTTTTTAAACCAGGAAAGAAAATCACCCAGTGCATTCCCATGGGAGAGGAACTTAGACAGTGGCCTACAATGTGGCAAACCCATTTCTTTCTCTCTCTCTCTCTCCCTCTCCCTCTCTCTCTCTCTCCACATCTCACTTCTTCTTCCCCTTCCTCCTCCCCGTCTCCATGTGACCCAGAATGGAGCTATTCTGAAACAGTTGGGAATAATCCCAGAAACCTTGTTCTGTATGCTTTTTCTATCTTGTTTTCTCTGCTTCTCTAAGAAAGATTAGAGGAAAAAGAGAGTGAGTTATTCCTTCAGCCAAATAGAAATTGGCCATCCTCGTCCTATTTACCTATCCTAGCCCATCTGGTAGAATGTCCTATAGTAGTGATGGCTAACCTTTTTTGCCATTGTGTGCCAAAAGCGGGGGGAGCACGGGGGGGGTTGCGCGTGAGCGTGCCCACACCCATAATTCAATGCCCCCTGCCCCCTGCGCATGCATGTTCGACTCCCCCCGCTTTTGGCACGTGACGGCAAAAAGGTTAACAGTAGGCCCGATTGGCCCATTTTTCACCCTCCCCAGGCTCCAGAGGCACGTTTCCTGACTTCCAGTGGGCCTGAAAGGCCCGAAAATCAGCTGGCCGGCGTGTGCGTGCATGCTGGAGCTGAGCTAGGGCAACGCTTGCGTGCCCACAGATATGGCTCCGCGTGCCATAGGTTCGCCATCACGGTCCTATAGTATGTAACAGTGATATTTCAATGACAGGGAGTCACAGAAACAGGAACCCATTCGTGCGAACCAATGCAGTAAAAGCTTCCCTTTACCAGTTGTGCAGTAACTGGTAAAGTTACTTCACAACTGGTAAAGTAACTTTACCAGTTACTGGTAAAGTTACCAGTAACTTCCTTCTTGTGTAAGAAGGAAGAAAACTGAGGCAGATTTTTACAACATTGCTATTTAAAAGAAGTGTTCCTACCATTAAATAGTGGAAGCTGGCCATTATAGGAACAAAGGCTAGAAAAAAAGGGGTACGAATGATGCATAAGAACAGACCTGCGGATCCCACCTATTTGTGTGAGAGTTGTAATTTGTTCAGTTTACACAGACACACAGAGATACAAAAGGGGATGACAAGGAACATTGGAAGAGATTAATAGCACTAAAGAGTTTTTAAGGTAGAGTTATCCAACAATTTCTCAAATAGCAGGCTGGTCTTTTTATGGCAGAGCAAAGAGTGCAGGAATTTGCTGCTCCAAGGTGCCTGTAATAGGCCTGTTTCTGATTTCTAATGAAACGGTTTTGGTTTTTTCTTTTGTCTTATATAACCCAGCATGATGTCTGTGCCAATCAGAGCTTATTCTTGAATCAGAGCATTTTCCCCAACTTTCCTGAAAATAATGAGACTGTGACTGTGGATATTTTCCAAGGGGTAAGTATCCAGCAAAATGATGGCTATCAACCAAATTGGTAGCAATACAAAACAGATGAACAGCATAGAATCTCCAGATCATGGTGTCAAACTTGATTTCATTGAGGGCCACATCAGGGTTGTGTTTGACCTCAGGGGGACCAAGGGGCATGGCCAGGGTGGGTGGGGCCAGCTCAACATCACTCATGTTGGGGGCACCTGTGGTGGCCCGAGCACTCTACCAGCGAAAGTGCGACCCTCCTGAGCTCTGTTTTTGCTGACAGAGGGTTGCAGAGGCTGTTGCAGCCGAAAACAGAGCTCAGATAGGCTGCGTGTGGCCCTCCTGAGCTCCATTTTCACTGGCAGAGGCTCCATGGGTTGGACCTTTGCTGTTTTCAGGGTGACCCCATGAGCCACATCTAAGCACTCCGCGGGCCAGATATGGCCTGCGGGCCTTGAGTTGACATCCCTACTGCAGATGAACGCTCAACTGCTTCTATTCTCCCAAGGACTTGTACTGAGAAGCAACTCACAAGAAATGCAGCTCCCATGTTTTATGGGCAAATCTAGGAATGTCCATAATTACTTTGTCACCACATGCTGAGCCAGCTGAAGCTTCCAATTGGTGTGCAACGGTTGATTTGCATTGTAGTCCAGGCATGCATTGACAAGGGCATGAGCAATCATGAACAAAGCTTCCTTTTTTTTCCAGAAATGGTTTTAACTGGCATATAAAATGTAATCCCACAAAGGGCTTTCTAGCCATGGCCTCCCCACCTGGTATTCAGAAGTGCCCCCAGATTTTGAGCCAACTTTTTCTCAGGGACTAGAGCCCCATCTAGAGTTACAGATGTTCAGCTGTTTTTAGAATCAGTTGGCTTTCAACTCTGATTCTGCAAGTCACCCCATCTTGCTGGAGTTGTACCTCCCCACCTTCCCCAAATATATCAAATCCCACTCAGGGCCGGATTTAGATGAAAAGAGGCCCTAGGCTATTCCACTTATGAGGCCCTTTCACCTATAGTGAAAGTGTAATTTTAATTTTGCTAACAATTTGAATGTAGGCCCCTCTTGATCTTGAGGCCCTAGGCTGAAGCCTAGTTAGCCTATAGGAAAATCCGGCCCTGATCCCACTACATTGCCTTTCTAACCAAGGGTTGAGATACGCATTTAAATAGATGGTCTCTCCTAGCAGGTTCTTGAAGATATTAAACAATAGGGAGAGGAGGTCTAAGGCCCATGGTTGTCACTTCTTCAGCTTTTTAAATTTCCTTATCTGGAAGCCTTGTGATTTATTTAAAATTCCCTCTCCTCCACTCCATCATTTTCACTTTAATTAGAGTTATCTAATTAATTTCTATTTTTAGTTCTTTAGGTTGTTGCTTTTGTCATTATAATGTTAGGCTTGGACAAATGAGATGGTGAGCAGCTGTGTGGACCTTTGCAGGATGAAGTCAAAATGATTTAATGCATTTTTATATAATACAATGAGCATGTGCATTGTGGAATACAAGCCAGGAATGTTTGCCTTTTTCTATGCAGGGAATTATCCTGGGATGCTACTTTGGGTCCATTGCTCTCTATATCTGGGCTGTTGGAATTCTTGCAGCAGGTCAAAGTTCAACCATGACAGGAACCTATGCAGGACAGTTTGTTATGGAGGTGAGAAAATACCTGGAGATCAGGGGTGGGTTCTACATACCTTTACTACTGGTTTGCAACGGGGCCGCACTCTTCTGCGCATGCGGAGAAGCATTCTGATGACATCAGGGTCAGTGGGCGGAGCCTCCCTCCAGTTTTACTACCAGTTCTATAGAACTGGTCTGAACCGAGGGCAACCCACCACTGCTGAAGATGTATAGTAAATTGGGGAGCAGGGAGCTGGGAGGGCTGACATTCAACACTGGCAAAGGATGAGATAATGATGCCTGCCTGCCTGCCTCTAAAATAGATATAAAAGCCTTATTAAATATAAGGCAATATAACTACAGTTTTCTTTGCTTTTAAGTTACAAAATGCAAACGAAGGAAAGAAATCTCAAAATTCTAGACTTTGTCTTTCTTCCTTTCCTTACATATATCCCCCACACATAATGATATCAGTATGTCTTGATAGGCCTTTGTCAAAATACGTGTGAAACCAGATGTTTCCTGATTCATATACTGTTTCTGATTGCTATTATTTCATATTATTAATAGCTGCTGAAATTCCAATATTCCCATTTATCTCATCATCTTTTCTGACCTCTCCCGCAGGTGAAATACTCCCTCTTCTCATATTTTCTCCCATGATATTTTCAGCTCCATATGTCCTTTTAAGTCCAGACTTTTATCCTGTTAGAATATCTTTTTCCCATGGCACAGTTCATATGCTATCCTTGAGGTGGTTGAAAACTATTGGTCTAAAGATTTTCTTTCCATATTACCACTGTTTCTTTTTCCTGCCCCAATGCTCTCTGTTCTGTCTTGCTACCTAAAGTGGTGTCCTGAATTTTGGGTTTGCTAGGCATATCAAGCAAAACTATTAATTAAGACCTATAGCTTTCTTTCGCTTCCCCCTTTCGGGATATCACTAGCCAGTGTGAAATAATCTACCATCAATGCTAGCAGTTTTTTGGATGACTAATCCAGTGCTCTGCTTTGCCTAGACAAGTCATATCAAAGTGCTTTCATGGGCAAAGATGAAACAAGTTTTGACAGGTGGATGTGCAGAATTGATGTTGGGGATTTGAAACTCATTAAACTCCGATTCAGTAAGGAGAACCCCCTCCTCCACCTGTTATTTGTATATAGTCACAGGTAATAGCATTCGAGCCATTCCCACATAACTTGCCTAACTATCATTTTAATTTCCCACAATTCTCCACAACAAAGCTACATTATAAGTATTGGAGAAAATTAACACGCAGGGGTAGATTGAATGCACAATGGCAAAAAAATTACTGAGTGGAAGTGCAGTATGATTGACACCACAGCAGCAGACCAAGACTACTGCTGGACCCGTATTTAAGGGCTTAACATGAGCCAGTTCTCCTCTGAATTCGGTTCCAGGGCCGTTTGATGATGTTATATTTTCATGCAGGAAGATACAGAAAAACAGTCTGTTGTGCAGGCACAGAATGTGTTTTCCTGCTTACAGTCTAAGTCTTTCTTTGCTTTTATTTGTTTCCACTGTTAGATGAAGATGTTTTTTGGAGGTGAGGTTAGACCACAGCTTGTACTTGGTCAGAGAAATTTTGTTATAGGTGTTAGTTTTTTTAGATGGCGTCTGTTGCATCTTCAAAAAAACTAGAAAAGCAATGAAAATATATCTATAAATCATTAAAGGCAGTTGGTTAAAATGTGCCTCTTTCCAAGACAGGCCAACTATAGCTTATTAGCCTCCATGGTATAATCCCAATTAAAGCTAGCTGAAGACATTTAATGGGACTTGGGCCAAACCGGGACTACAAGAAATTGCAATGCTGCCATCTATGGTCTAATGATTGCTAGTCTGCTATTCAGAAGTGACCAGATGGCTCAAAGCAACTTTGTGTTCCACAGGAGTCCACCAAATGTCTCCAGAAACCTTGTAAATGAAGGAGGAGGAATGCAACATTCTTCCACTTGACTCCATAACAACCAGCATTGGGAAGCATATGTTCTGTGTAAGCTTTATCATGATTAACACTGGATAAGTTTCCTCTGGATAAAATCTTTAAAATGGGCTCCCTCCCAAAATCATTCTTATGCTGTATTACACCCACACAAACATACTGTTTGTGCACACTTATCTGATCCCCTAATTTGATTCACATGCTGTCCCAGGCTACAGGATGCTCTGGGCCTAATTTTAAGATGGTCTTCCCCAATCTTTTGCTTCAGTTATTTTGGGCCCCGGGGCTTTCATCCCCAGCTGGGATGGCCTGAGAATGCAAGCAAGGCCCCAACCCAGTTTAGAAATAGATTAGCCAAAGGTCACTGAGAAAGAGATCTTTATTTGTTAGATTTACACAGATAGTCCTCGACTTACGACCACAACTGAGCCAAAATTTCTGAGACATTTGTTAAGTGAGCTTTGCCCCATTTTACGGGGATCACATGACTCCGGGACACTGCAACCGTCATGAGTCAGTTGCCAAGCATCTGCATTTTGATCACATGACCATGGGGATGCTGCAATGGTTTTAAGTTGTGAAAAGTGGTCACAAGTCAGTTTTTTTCAGTGCCGTTGTAACTTCGAACGGTCACTAAATGAACTGTTGTAAGTTGAGGACTACCTGTACTTACCTTTTCTCCAGAAAGAGAAGGTATGCATAGAATATACCTCTTCTCTTTTTCCCAGAACAAATGGGGAGTGGGGAACAGGCTGAGCTGAGAGATAGTGGCTTGTCAACTAAGCTCCCATAGGTGAAGTGGGATCACTCCATTTGTATGGCTCTTCCATGTGGCAACCTTAGCTGCTGCTATGCAGGGTGGGAGCCGGCAGAAAACTCTGCCCCCTTAACCAACCTGCCTCCAAGAGGCAACTGGACTTTCTGGTTTTTCTTTGAAGATGTTTCACTTCTCATCCAAGAAGCTTCTTCAGCTCTGAGACGAAGAAGCTTCTTGGAATAAGAAGCGAAACGTCTTCAAAGAAAAATCAAAAAGTCCAGTTGCCTCTTGGGGTAAAAAAAGCACCTTTGGGACAACCGTGATCTGGATGACTGAGATTCTCCATAGACATCTGCCACCTTAAAGAAGAGCTGATCATATTTCCACTCACTATCTGCTGAACAGTGAAAAAGACTAGGAGTTCTATCTGCGTGAGAAGTGGGAGGAAGAAAAGGGGAAGCAGGAAAAGCCTCTTTGGGTGCCAGTAACTGGTCTTCTGCTGTCTGGGCTGCAATCTGACTGCTCTGGGATCAAAGAACTGGCAACAGGTGGATGTTTTTTTCTCCCATTTCTGTCTTTCCCCCTGGAGGGAAGAAAGGGAAATTCAGGAAGAGCCGATTTCCCTCCAGGGGAGGAAAAAAGTGGGGTGGATCCAGTTTGGCAGCCAGTAGCCTTCCAGTGAAGTTGCCCACCCACCCACTCACCTGCAGCTTGGATGCTGGAGGACCTAAGCCACAGGGTGGGAAATATATAAAATATCAATAACTCCTTCTCCACCATGAATGGTGAGAAGTGTCTGGGACTCTGGGGTAATGTCTCCTTGCTGCCAGTTTCCTGATCCTCTGGACACTGGAGAACTGACAGAAGGCTTGATTCCAGCCTTGTTCCCCTCTGTAGGGGGAAGTGGGTCTTTTTGGGCCTAGAGAATTGGCACCTCAAAGACCAGATTTCCATCCTTACCTCCTGCTTTATTTCTGCTCATGGTTGCCAAGAGAAGTGGGGGAGATGGCTTTGTCTAGTCAGAAATGGCCTTGAAATCAGTGACCAGCAATCAGGAATCAACAGGAGCAGGACAGTCCCCCTCCTCCCAAATTTACCTCAGAAGGGATTCGCCGCAGTGCAGCTTGTGCCAGCAGAAGTTGGAAAACTTCACTTTTGAAGTAGAACAAGGGAAGATGGAGTGAGGTTGTCATACATGTGGAGCAAGGACGGGTGGAATATAATGTTGTGCGTTCATGTCCTCAGGAAATAATTATAATTATAATAATTATAGAAGGAATAGATCAGACATCCAGCCCTTGCTTATCAATGGAGACCGAGTGGAGCAAGTGGCTAGTTTTAAATTTCTGGGTATTATCATAAAAGAGGACCTGACCTGGGGCGCTCACATTGCAGCACTGGTCAAAAGGGCCCAGCAGAGATTACACTACCTGAGACTTCTCAGGAAACAACTACTGAATGAAAAACTGCTGGTGACCTTCTACCTCTGCCCCATAGAGAGTATTTTAACTTACTGTACCTGTGTATGGTTTGCCAATTGCACAGTGGCAGATAGGACAGCACTCCAGAGAGTTAATGTCATTGCCCAGAGGATCATTGGCTGCCCTCTCCCCTCTTTGGAAGAGCTTTATAGCTCCCGCTGCCTTAAGAAAGTTCAAAATATTCTTAAAGCTCCATCGCATCCTGGGCACCTTTTTTTTGAACTATTACCATCTGGAAGACGGTACAGGATAATAAAAACAAGGAGAAATAGGCTGAAAAACAGCTTCTATCCCAGAGCAGTGACTATATTGAGTTCTACTGTATAGAACAATATTAATGCAATATCAGGGGTTTCAATTCAATTGTAGAGAATGCGAAGGATGTGTGTTTGTGTTTTATTTTTATAGTTATAATGTACACTGAAGATGGCATTTAATTTTTTTTTTAAAAAAAACAAATTTTATTTCATGGTCAGCATACATCATAAACAAAAAATCAATCATATATATATATATATATTTTTATTTCCCCCCCCCCCCCCGCTCCTATCCCAACCCCCAACCCCCTCCTCGGACTTCCCAGAACAAATACAGGGTAAAAACATTTAAGAAACCTTAATAAAAGACCCCACAAACTAACTATCTATAGATATATCTATCACTTGTACTTTAACTCTCCTTGTTCAAAACAAAATATAACTTTTCTTGCTTAAAGGTAGTTAATCCCAATTAATTCAACAATAAACAAAACCAACTTGTTCCTCCACAGAATAACATTAATGTAAAACAAAATATACAACTTAAAGCCCTTGAAAATATATTGAGAAAT